CCAGTCCCACCAAACATACTGCCCCTTTCAGCCTGGGGGCGTTCAATGTGACGGTTCAATCCCACTATCGTTAGTAAAAGAGCAGCCCAAGCGTTGGCGGTGGGTGGTGATGACTAGCTGCCTTCCCTCTAGTCTTACACTGCTAAATTGGGGACGGCTAGCGCAGACAGTCCTCGTGTAGCTTTGCGCGAAATTAAAAAAAAACAACCAAACCAAACCCTCAACAACAGATAAGAAGGGAATTATTTGTTTAGAGAAGTTGACTTTGTTTCATTGGAGGTAAGTTTCTCTGGCCAAGGAATTAGATAGTTGCACTCGTTTGATAAGTTGCGTAGAAATTCTACGAAGAAATAAGGACAAAATGTGTTTGAAGAGTCTTGTTTACTAAAACTTTGCTTTTATAATCTGTGAATCAATATCCACAATGAAAACTATAACTAAAGATAGAGTTGTGGCGTCTCAGAAATCTCTTCAGAGAAATAAAACTAGAGACATAAAGTAGACGTTATCAATTGACTTCCAGCTTTGTGTTTCTTTTCGTGCTCTTACTTTGTGTGCAGTAACCAACCGTCATAAGTGAAAAAAGCGTCAATATCAACGATACGAAATCTTTCTCTTATCAATCAGATTTGTTTACCGCATTATTTACAAAAGGATTTAAAAAATACCAAAGTTCAAAACACATTAGAATATCCCTAGCGTCTAATTGTTTTATCTTACAATAGTTCTTTTTTTAGTGTGTTAAGTTTATATAACTGATTATATCAGAAATTAACGGTTTTAATTTGCAAGTAGCTCAGAAGCATAAGCCTTGCAAATTATAACTGTTAAAACCATAGAGATACTATTGAAGTGTAGCCTCACATAATATCCAAAAGCAATACAAAATTTCAGTGCGTGACATTCCTTATCGTCGATATAAATGGGCTTTTACATAAAACTTTGAAAGTACGTGCAGGTTCTGTTACATAGCGAGAGCTAATATATCTTATATTGCAACCTGATTTAATTAATCTTGTAGAGGGCTCCTGCATTATTAGGTTCACAAGAGTATAATAAAACGCAACCATCGTGATTACGCCTGTTCTCTTTAAATTCAGCACTAGTATATTGGCAAAACATTAAATTAACAAAGAATCTAATTATTATTATTATTGCCTATGCAAAGGCAAGATTCTTTTTGGATAAAACATATATAATACAAGTTTTCTCTTAATTAAAGTAAATTTAATACCTAACATTGCTTCAATGGAAACGCACAATATCATCACCTAATATAATGCCCCCTGTAGCACAGCGGCATGTCTGTGGACTTACAACTCTAGAAACCGGGTTTCGATACTCGTGGCGAGCAGAGCACAGATAGCCCATTGTGTATCTTTGTGCTTAACTTTAAACAAACAAACAAACCAAATGTAAGACGTTACAGTGTTTTCGTACGATCAACCTGTTTCACACGTTTGCTGAAAATACATGATTCACGGTAAGTATGGAACGAATACGTTAGGTGATAGTCTTTAATCATAGTCTAAGGTATACAGATATTTTAACTCTAAAATTGCTTATAGACCGATATTTACCAAATTTCTTGTGAGTTCATGATTTTGTTGGTTACAGAATCTTTAATAGTATGTGTTTGTTTGTTTGTTTGGTGTAAAGCAAAGTCACGTTGGGCTATCGGCAGTGTCCACACTGGGAATCGAACCCCTGATTTTAGCGTTGTAACTCCTTAGAAGTACCGCTGTTCCACTGGAGGACAATAACAGATGAACTCTCTTTTATCATCATGTACAAAGAGATTTATTTGTTCATGTAGTTTAAGATAAACTTAACTGCTGGTACCTGTTATGAGGTAAGATGTTAGGAAAATAGGGGATTACAGTACTTTAAGTCATAAAAAAAAATATTGAAGTGAACGGCCGCTTTCTAAATTCAGCCGGCATAGAAATGACAAGACCTCCTGTGGTTATGAAACATTATATTACGAAATAAGGAAACAAGCGCGAGGCAGAAAGAAAGGGGCCAGTTCGGCGTGGGTTTGAGAAATGAATATAAAAGACAGGAGTTTAACGAAAGAAAAAAAAGAAGACCGGGAGATGTGAGAGAGAGCAAATAAGCTGAGAGAGGCGAAGGAAGAACGTAATATGATGCCAGTAAGAAACAAAACCTATTTCCAAATCCATGCATTATTAATTACCAGTAATAAACAGTAATTTGTTATGTTTACATTGATATGAGTCAATTCCTGATAAGAATATGTACAACCTAAATAAAGTTGATAGAAATATGAAGGGAAAGCGAAGTGCGAGAACATCACGACCTTTAATAGTACCTCGTGGTTTATGCATTCACTATGTGAAAGGTAGCATGGAACAGTGTTGTAGTTGAAATAGCTACTAATTTCACCCTTTCATAATTCAACTAATTATTCTAACTTTCCATGCAATACTGCGTGCAGTTATGACATTCTTCTTAAGTGGATGTAGAGAGATTGTAAACATGCGCTAATCCTTTTACACAGATAAAGGTAACAGGTTACATGCTACAACTTGAGTCTCAAGCTAGCGTGTACACGTTTATATGCGGGCTCTTAGAATGGTAGCTTAATCAAACGGGTGATATAAAAACTTGTAAAACCGGCTTTAGAGGAATAGAATTGTATTTATGATTTCAAATTCGATGACGAAGAACCCACTTAGAGACTAATAATGCTTGGAGACGGCTTGAATGGGTAATGAA